GCCGCTGCAGCGATCATGGCCCCCGGCCGCTGCAGCGATCATGGCCCCCGGTCGCTGCGCGGCCCGGTGCCAGGTACTCCACGGGGGTTGGGGACCACTGTTCTAGAAGACTAGAAGAAAAATGCCAAAGAGTTGTGAAGGGATGGACCAGGCTTCCCCTACCTAGACAAAAATTTGTGGATTGGGAAGATTTGTTTAGGGCAGGGGTACCCAACCCCCCCAGGTCGCAGCTCACTACCAGGCTGTGGACTATTCGCAAATGGGCCACAGGCCAGTGCACATGGGCGCATGCTCAGCTCAACTTAAGTGGTTGATGGGCCACCACGCATGTGCCGGCAGCTCAACTTGGAGTTCAGCTGCATGTGCATGCGCACCAGCACACCTCACAGAGTCAAGCTGTGTGCACCTATGGGCTAGTCCCTGCTGGCATGGCTCGGTTCCCCTCATCCCCTACCCGCGCAAACTGAGCCACCAAGCTGCAACGGTTGAGGTCAGCTGGTTTAGAGAACCATGGAAATGTATTAATACAATTTGATTTAAAATTATATTTTTATTTTTAACTATTTAGAGATTATTGTTTATATAAATTTTGTTCCTAGAATGCCAGATGTTTGTTCCAAATAAATAATTTGAAAAGAATTATTTGTTTAATGTTCACATTTGCATTATAGAAGATTGAGGATCTGTTCATTTTTGGCATAATGTTCTATTCCCTTTTTGAAACAATTCAACAGTACTTCTTGTTTCTCTGTCCAGCTCCTTTGTTGTAGAAAGACAGCCTTGCATGCCTACCCATCCTCAGAGGCCGTTGGTTCTGAAGACTGGAGTACAATTTACAGTAAAGTTGAGGTAAATTGTTTTATACCTGATGTGATTCATGTATGGTGGTTTTTAAAAAAAACTTTAAAGGGAGTGATTAATTCCGAACTAAAGTAAGAGGGAAGATTCCCTCAAGTCCTGGCCCTTTGGAATGAACTCCCCGCGGAGATTCGGACCCTCACCCCTCTCCAGGCCTTCCGGAAAGCCGTCAAAACCTGGCAGGCCTGGGGTTTATGAGCTCCCCTCCCTTCTCGACTTGTATGGCCGTATGACTCTTGTGTATTTTAATTACGTGTATTGTGTT